AGAAGGGGCGAGGGAGGCGGCGGGAGGCTGTCGGTGCCTGCGCCCGGCGCCCGCAGCAGGCCTGCTCCGCGTTGCTCGGCCTCCGACGCAGCCAGGGGAGCGTGCGGCAGGGCCCGGACCGCGGGCTTGGCACGCTTGGCCTTGTTTCATCTGCGGTCGCTAGCCTGAGCGAAAGAGCCGCCTTTCTTGGCCAAGGTAAAGCCAAAGATGGCCTGCTCTGCTCTGGGTAGATGACAGGCTATGAAAACGCCCCTACCGAAGGCAGGTGCCGCCAGCTTGCTTTGAGGTGTTCTCCATCTGCTAAGAGTCTCAAGTGAACAATAGGAGAAATCTAGAAGAGCCCCCTGGATCTATGCTTTCACGTAGTTGTCCATAAATGTGAAAACCTTGTTCGAGATGGACTTTGTGTACAGTGCTGTGGCGTGATAAAGGGAAAAATATTATGAGTCTGCTGCTAGCTCATTCACAAATGGCGTTTGAAGGTTAGAGGGATGAGATAGTAGCATAGTAAACCATCTGTATTGGAATGAACAAGAGAATTGGGCCTGAAGAGATCCATCAAGGAGCTCTCTTGTGGTTAGAGAAGATCCCCAGATCCTGCAGTTGTGTATACTTCAGTGTCTTCGCTGCCAATCCTCTCTTTTTAAAGGTTATTTCCTACTTTTATTTTCCATAAGTGTTTTTGATTTCCTCTTTAGACTGTACCCTTTAAAGATCAGTCATTGCAATATTAGACACTGTTTTGTCTCTTCTGAAGAAAATATCCTGCGAAATGGAGAAACATATCAACCTTGACCGAGGTCCAAGTTATTAAAGCAAGGAAGAGGTTATTCTTTGGGGAACTCAGTGAAAAAAAAAAAAAAAAAAAGACACAATAGAAATATTAAAGGAGTACTGAACAAAATAAATGGCTTCTTACTTGTCCAGGAGTCAGACTGTTAGCAGTGTAAAGTATGTGACCTAGGATGCATGAAAGGGGGTGGGAAAAGAAATCAAGATGAATGATCTATGGTAAAACAACGCTGAAAGTTTTGGTATAGGCCAAGATTGTAGATTCTGTGGAAAATCGGTGCTAGACATAGCCTCATCACTGGTAATATGAGCCAAAATAGTTATCTGTCTTTTCTGGCTGAGAGTTACAATACACAGTACCTCCAATCTCAGTTGCCATGAACATAAGGTATTCTTCCCAAGATTTACATCTTTAAAATATATGAACTGTTCATAAGTGATTCCCAGGCGTTTAGTATTTCAGATGCTTTTCTCAATCTTGTAGTTGTAATTTAAGAATTTTGGAATCAGTCTTTCTGTTGAAATATGGAGCTTCTAGATTCTGTCCAACGATGACAGTCCTTGTTTAGCTCCTTGCCTCGAGTTCTCCCCAGCACTTCTTCCTGGCTTCGATAAGACCTTTGCACATTATAAGAAGGAAGAAAACACTACCAGTAAGTTCTGCAAATAGTTAGAGAACTCTACAATTATATAAAACTTACAGGTCATACGTTTTATATGTGACAGTAGACCAGTTCAGTAGCTTGCTTTCTGGGTTCATGTTCAGAGTAAGTTTAATATACTGAAATGAAGCTGTTGCCGTGCATTTCAGGTAGAGTTAGTAAGCAGCTTCTATGCTTAAGTTATCTCGCGGTTTCTCTGAGAGCATTCTGGTTTTAGCTGTTTACATTCTTGCCAATATTTGACTGGTCAGCTCCAGAATCTCCTCACTTCAGATTAAAAGTTTGAAATTTGGCAAGGAATACTGTCAGGTGGCCAAAGCTGCGTCCTTTCCAGTCATTGTGAAAATCTTTCCCGCTGAGCCGCAAGCTTATGAACAGTCCTGGTCATGTGCGATCAGGAGCAAGGGCCTGGCATCTAAACTATCGAATGATTTTATCTGCTCAGAGCCTGCTTCAGCCTATGGCTTCGAGGCCTTAGAAGACTTTTTTTCTTGAATGTTTTTTCCTCTCTGGGTATTTTAATGTCAGATATTGGAACTGAGGGCAAGAAGTTTCTTCGTCTCAGTGGGTTTTGGTCTTTGAGTCCTTTCAGTAGGTGTAAGCATTAGGGAACTGCAGAAGGCACGGCCTGAGCGTCAAGCAGAACTCGGCAGTAGAAGTTATGGAATAGAGTGCCTGGCCAGCCATTGCTAGGTGGTGGAGAGAGACACGTAAGGTGAAGAGAGATGATGTCTTCTGGCAGAGTACAACAGCGTGGTAGATGGGCAGGGGAAGGGGAGAGAGGTGTAAATGGGGAAGTAGATAGAAAAGGCTGCAGCCAGACTACTCCAAAACATGGAGTAAGTCCTGAAAGTTGACTTCTAGGCATTTCTACTTGCTGGCAAAGCAGAAGAAGGTCTGATGGCCCCAAATGAGCTTCTCTCTGCAAGGAGTTGTATCTGGAAGAAGACAACCCCCTATAGTCCAAGTGGCTTGAATCTGTAGCTTTTCACTTAGGTTCTGAATGCCAAAGAATGAGTTCAAGTTGTGCTTCTAACTCATTTGAGGGAAGAACAGTCCACACTTGGTGCCTTGTGAGCGCTGATTATGTGTTGCCTGTTTGTCCAGGGACTTCTCTGCCACCTTCTGAACTTTGGGTAGACAAGCGGGAGGGCTGGCTTGTTGTCTGCGAGAGCTGTCACACAAGCTGGCAGCTTCAGGGATCTGAAAGGAAAACTTCATGGTTAAGGCAGTGAACATCACTGTGGGACTGGATTTTATCTCTTCAGATTGCTGATGGTTTGTTCCTCATTTTGTGGTTTTCTGTTTGGAGCAGCTGAGATCAGATTTATACTGTTGCAGGAAAGTCAGCGGGTCTTTTGCTTATAACCCCGAGAACTCAGGTCCCAGACATCTCAAAAGGGGTGTTCCACATTAGTGGACACCTTTCCCTTCAGTTTGACCTTAATATTTTTGTGTTGCTTTCTTATTTGTGCAACATGGGAAATACTGCTTCCCTTCCTAGTGTTGTAGAGGTAGACCTCAGGACTATAAAAACCTCCTTGATATTTTGATGAGTTCTGTATAAAAGTGACATGGAAATGATTTATACCAAGCTGGAAATGCTATGGCATGGTAGACAAGAAGTGTAGCCACGCACCCAACAGCAAGACTTAACGGTAATATTGCATAGTTGTTTATTCAGCTGCTCGAGTGAAAATTTTTGATCCATATTTCCAACAGTCATCTGAAATTGAGTGTATAACCAGACAAATTTTGTGTGTATTGGTTTTTTTTTTTCCTTTTGGTTTTGCTCAGGTGTTAAATAGCCAGCGTGTTCCATGGACCTTTGTATATATTGCTGTTTGCTCAGGCTCAGTGGAAGGAAAATTAGGTATGATCTCTGTAGAACACTATTAAAACCGCATCTAAAACAAGACAGTGAAAACTTATTTTGTCTAGGAGTGAATTGTAAAGGTTTTTTTATTTAGCTGTGATGGTATTATTAGTAAAATTTGGAGGTGCAAAACTTCCTTCTTGGGTTCAGTTCTGCAATCTACCTGAGCTGGAAATGGACAATGACCTATTGTCTCTAACACTGAATTGCCCCTTTCCCGCTGGTAGCTGAGGGTCTCATTTTGAAGGGAAGTAAGTGTTGGGTGAAATCCTGATTCCACTCAGGTCAATGGTAAAAAACCCAAACCAAACAAAGACTATTGAAGTCAGAGAGACTAGGGTCCCCTGAAAATCCAGTGCCTTCCTTTCATCAACCAGCTGGTTTTCTCATTGAAGATGGCAGAAGAGCTGTAGTCTGTGAAATCACATTTTTTAATACTCCTTTGCCTTGGAAAGTACAGATAAAAACACAGCTTTATGCTCTACCCTCCGTAATAGTATTAGACAAAAAACAGGCAGAAACATGATCTTCTATATAACTAATCAGAATCTTTTTGCTGTCTCCATACATATTTTTCCCAGGGTGCTAGGATGGTAAATATTTTAGCAGAGGGAATTAACTCTACTTCTCTTCCTTTATGTTCCGTTATCAACGCGACTAGCCCACACCCTCACTTTGCCTCATTTTTGGCTCTGTTTCTAAACCCTAAAATTCCTGTTCCTGCATTGAAACACAATTAAATTGAGGCTTAATGTGGTGCCTGTTTTATGTAATGTTGCTTTCTGGCTTTTTATATTCTTCCAAGTCTGAATCTCATGAATCAATGTGTATTCATGTTTCATCTGAAATTTTCTAACTCTCCTCAGTATGCCCTAAAGCTTCCCTTTTTTGGTTTATGAAATAATAATAAAAAGCTTAACTCTTCAGATTAAGTTGTAACTGCTTTATACATTAGACAGACAATTTCAGTTTAACAAAGTAAAAATGGTGTGAGAGAGAAATTGCAGCTTGATTATTTTTTAAAATATTCAGATTAGAATGTCATCTTTTATGAGTTTTTTTATAACCACTTAGATTGATACAACTCTCTAAAGCTGCTCTGTTTTTCATCACACATTCTCATCTGTAAAACCTTCATTTTTATTAATCTTTGTACAATCTGTACAACTTTGAGATTAATCATTTTAAAAGAGCTACTCTCCGAGTGTTAAGGATTTGCTGGGCTAATGGGAAATGCAAGTGCTTCTAAATACTCTACAAAACATAGCGCTTGCTTAGCATTTTATGTTGTGTAAGTATCAGTCTTTGTTTCGCCGTTATCTAGAGCTACATTTTATGGCTATGTTTCCAGGTCTGTTTCTGACTGCCTAGAACCAGAGAACAAAATATACTGGGTCCTTTTTTCACCAACTAGCTCAAATTCTAAATGTTTATAGCCCCGTTCTGCCTTCGTGCTGTTCCCATTGAAGTTAAAGGGAGTTGTCTATTTACAAGTAAAGGCGGAACTAGACTGTGAGGCCAAATCCTTCAGTCCTTGCTCGAACAAAAATTTCTGTCGGATCCTGGCAGGCCAGTTTGGCTGCGTCTGGGCTTGCTTAGTTTTGACTCCGTTCAGGACTTGTGGAGGTCTGGTGTCTCTCCTAACTATAACTCCGGGCCTTACTGAGGATTTTTTTTTTTTTTTTCCTTCTTCTTTGGTCAATTCAACTGTTCGCCCCCTGATTATCCCCCTGGCCTTAGCTGAGTTTCCCCTGGGGGCAGGGGAAGACACGGCGTGGAGGTTTGGCCGTGCTTTCAGCCGCGCTCTGAGTACACTTGCAGCGGGGCAGCGAGCGGCTCCGTTGGCAGTCCTCCAGGCTGCTGTGGTGTTGCCTGAGCAGCCCGTCTTGCTGGGAGTGAACGTGTGGGTCCTGCTCCCAGAAGGCTGTCTCTCCTGGAGTATCGGTGTTTACTTACCCTGGACTATCACTGTTCATCTGAACACCGCAGTATAATCTCTAATGCGTCTTCTTTTTAATTTATAACGTATATATCGTTAGTGGATCTGGGGTGTAGAGTGTGCACATTGCAGTGCTTTGGCAGAGATCTAGGCTGTTATCTAGTCCTGAGAATCTAGTGGGACAATTTTTCACAATTATTCTTATAGATATGGTGGCCTAAGCGTATCAGGCATTGTCTCTTTGCCTAGTTAAACATAGAGTGCCTGACTAGAAAAGGTGAAGGTTAAGGAATCTCCTGTTCTCTTAAGATTTCCATTGACTTAACGTACTGCAGGTATAAATTCATCAGTTACTTGTATTGCTCACGTATGTGGGATTGCATCTGATCATTATCTCTTGTGTGCAAGAAAGCAGATGTTTGAGTTCCAGTAATGTGTTTAGGAGGTTTATATCAGTTCTTCTATCAGTGCTTTTATTTTAGTATATAAATTGCAGCAATATGAAACAAGCCAACTGTGCAAACCGTGGTATACATTTTGTGGCATACATCATGGATGCATTGAGTAAAGGGGATGGAAGAAAAAGAAGTGTATTTCGCAGTGAGGTTGCTATTGATGCAGAGTGAAGGTTGAAGCTCAAGAGAGCAGTGGTGTAGGGACGGTTTGTGAAAACTCCTCCTTCAGTGTTCCAGTTTCTCCACGGACTGGAAAGAGCATTGACCTGGTAATTTCCACCTCCCTGAAGGTCAGATTATGCCATAGTGCTTCATAGTAAATAAATGGTATTTTAACCAAAAAATCTCACGTGATCCATTTTGCTGTCATCATCCGTATGACCACGCTGGGTACCAGCCAATGCTGATGGAAATGTGCCCAATGTAAAATGGGATCTAGGGTTCCTGATTGTTAAAGCATCTCTCTTAGGGAGCTGCTTAAGTAGATGGCTATTCATTACTTATTGTATTATGGGTCAAGAGGCTCAGAAAACAGGTTTTAATCGTCAAGGCTTTGCAGTTGTATGTACAGGTTTAGTGACGTGTAACTAGAAATAATGGGAGGAAATATGAAAAAGGCTGAATGTTGAGGAAGGCTTCCCAACTGTGCAATAAAAATCGAGATGGAGATCATTTGGAGGATCCCTCCCATTCATAGAGCCTTTCCTTAGGGCACAGACAGGGTCTTTGTTCTGCTGCTTATTCCTGGGAGGAATTATTTCAGAACTGACTGGTCTTTACAAAAACGGTTATCACTTAAAGATGAAAACCATGTGAATTTGGAGGGAAAGTTAGGCTGTGGTTTATGGTATAAGCTTCTACTGCATATTCCTGTTCCTCCTTCTAAAGTTTCTGTCCTGGGAATTCTTCTTATCTAACTTTGTGTCTCTTGTTTATTGTAATGTGTAAGGTTGCTAGCACAGGCGTGAATGAGAGGTTTCACGGTTTCTCAGGGTGACTAATGCTGAAGTTTGTATTTACCCTTGATTTGCTGCTACGTTGCAGATCAGCAATAGCTTCTACTGCAGAACATCCTCCTTATAAATGGTAGTTCTCATTTCATTTCTGTTTTAAAATGCACTGTTTAATTTGTGATTAACAGGGCTGTCACCATGGGTTGGGTGCTTCTCAACTTTTTTTTTTTTTTTTCCAACATCTATGGACTTGCTGCCTCTCAACAGAGAGGAAAATTCGATGCTGGTGGGAAACCTGAATTGAGCAAATGGTCATTTGTTACTTGTATTAGGGAACAAAAGGCCACATCTGGGCCCTGAGCAGAGAGGAGACTCTGTTTAGTTGGACATGGTACAGATCTAGAGAAGAGTTTAACCCATTTAAATCAGATAACGGTATCTTCCTTTCTCTATTGTTACAGATAATACTACAGATCAGAGATACTTTCTTGCCACCACTCTATAACTTATTTCATTACGATCATCTGTTTGCCACTTAAAATTGAAGTAAACAGAGCATATGTTCCTAAAAGGTGTAGCCTTTGATTTGAATAGCCAGGTGGAGCCAGGATTTGAATCTAGTAGTGTAAGCAGCGAAGGACTTGATCTAAAGGAACACATCTGCCAGGTGGCAGCCTGCAAGCCGCTATGGGGACGAATAGCGAGGAATGCAACCCACACTCTGCAGCCAGAGCTGCTCCCAAACACCGCTCCCCTCCTGTTCAGCGAGGTTCACAAACCGTTTAGACATCTCCCGCATTCCAGTTCCATTGGCTGTTCTGCAAATCACTTAAGAGGTTTAAAACTTCCTTGTAATTCTACTCTGCACATGAACTTTGAGTGAAGAGAAAGGAAGGACCAGTGAAATGAGAGTCTGGGCCTCAGGGACCCCTTCAAATTGCTATTGCAAGCATTTAGCAAAGACTGGGATAACATCCTATGTATCCATCTTTGTCCCTAGCTGTGTGCCCTTGGGCTTTGTTCTGGGCTTTCTAATTTCTAGTGCAGTGTAAAACATGAACACTTACTGTTGCCAATGTATATTAACACATGTGGCAGTGTACACACTAATGTAACGTACTCATTTAAAAATAAAAACTAAAATTTATTTGCATAATGTTGACATTAAGAAGGTTGCAAACAGGAAACATGGCAATGTTCCTGACATTCTGGACAGGAGAATATAGGATTTTGAAGAATAATTAGGTAAAACATATATGTTTGTGACACCCCCAAAACACAACAAAGGTAACAAATTTTTAAAATTATTGTGATGCTGCTGCATGAGGAATCTTGAAAATTTATACCTAGTAGGGATAGGCTGGTTTGGGTTTTTTATTTTATTTTTATAAAGGGTTAATTTGTAGTGCATCCTGCAAGCTCATACGTGGGATAAATAGTTTGGACACTGATTTGTAATCTCTGTTTATGAGTACATGACTGCTATTCTTATAAATGTCATCACTTTCTTGGTAGGATCTCGCAATATCTGAGTCATGAAGTGCTGACAAAAATCCACTGCACTTAATGTGAAACTTGATGCATTTTGCTCATTCCAAAAGATATTAGCAATAGCCAGCCCCACATTTAACTGATAAATAACGTGTACATGTGCACATGACACAGTTATGCTGCTATGTGGATTTTTTCCTCTTACCTAAAATCTTTGTGGAAATATATCAGAGTTCAGATCATGACCTTTTTTTTTTTTTTTACTGGACTGTCTTATGGATACTAATAGATGTATGTATGGAGTCAGTGCATTGTGCCAGCAGGAGCAGATCCATACGAAGGCAGAGCAGGCTTCCTTTGGTGAATTTCGTTTGAACTTGGCTATCCTGGCTACAAAAGCGAACTCTGCGTATGTTATCACCGACTTAAATGAAACCTCTCACGTGGAGCTGAGTACTGAAAAATATTTCATTTCTCCATTATTCCCCTCTTTATTTACAGCCATACAGCAGGATATGAAAATGAGAACCACAGTGCTCCCATGTTATACAGCTGTGGGGCCCAATACAGAATACACACCCATGGAGTTTTTAGAGGCATACAAGTGAGTATAGTAGGGCATTCTTCATAGGGAAGTAAAACTGCTGCCTGTTTATAATGTTCATTTACTACTTCACTGGTATTTATAAATCCATCCTTGATTTGCTGTTTCCCTGCGTTATCAAGAAATGTTATTTACATAAGTGTCTGGACTTCACTGAAGCCATTGAAGTATGATGTAAGATTTCTTTCTGACACAGTAATTTAAAATTGTTTATTTCTTCTTCTAAAATATATCTGCGAGACAATATTCATCACCAGCTTCTCAGGATGGTCCAAAATACACGATCCAGTTTCCAACCTCTAGCTCCGGTCACTTTGGCTGTGTGAAGCTTCTGTGGTTACAATGGACTACACCTGATAACTATATATGGAAGTGTTAGATTATTTGCTTTTATGGATTTCTGAAACTTTACTAATTCAAACACGTTTCCTTAAAACAAAATATAATAAGTGATTGTTTCCTAATGACTAAGTAATTAGTGAATATTTGGAAGGAACTTACCATTCATGGGAGTTAATTTCCTCCCTTTCTGAAACAGTCATATCAAGAAATACCACTGTAAAAGATGTACCTTCTTAAAACTGGTGGCAAAGTCATTATATAATATTTGTCTCTTTGTGTTGTCAGCATACATGAATGGTTTTAGATAGCATCTTCTCTCCTTTTCCCTTTCTGTATAGTTGAACAAGTCATTATTCAGTAGCAAGCTCTCACAAATAGGCTTGTGAGCCAGCTTTTGCTGAGTGAATAAAAGTAAGCAGTTGACATTGTTTGAGGAAGTTAATTACCCCAGAAGGAGAAGATCATCTTTGGTGGAATATTGTGACAGTGGCCAAAATGCATTAAGGCTGAACTATTCACCAGCTCCACCTAGACAGTCTGTCTTGGTTTGTTTTTTACCAATTTGTATTAACCCAATAAATTAATTTCCCTGTCCCTTAACTTCGTATGAGTATTTAAAATAAAGAGGATAATGCTACTCTGGCTCATGCTCTTATCTCTTACACTGGTATAAGCCTAAAACTCTTTCATATGCCAATGAGTGTTCTTCCAGGATTGTGTGATTACACATGAGGTCAGAATGTGGCCCATTTAATCTTGCGTGTAAATGTTGGTGAGAGAATCTAATAAGTACAGTTCACTGTATTTCACCTTCAAATAATTTTAATACTCTGCAAAGAACTGATTAAGGTATACTAAGGTTGTACTTCGTTAATGTAAAATAAAATAAAATTGCCTGTTTGCAGTATAATATATTTAAGTATCTCTTTGTCATGGAGAAATGCGTCTGATTTTTTGTCTTTGGATATGTTAAGTAAAAGCTTGAGAACATTCACGTTGCATTAGCAAGTCTCTGTCATTGCAGGATGTCCGACGGGTGCCAGGAGTAGCTCCAGCCATTGTCCGATCAGCAAGTGAGACAAACGAAAAACGTCCCTTCATGTGTGCGTACCCTGGCTGTAACAAGCGATACTTTAAGTTGTCCCATTTACAGATGCACAGCAGAAAGCACACTGGTAAGTGTCAGCATGGCTTGATATAAATCACGTTACAGAACTGGACAGCAAAGTGGGTAGGGTGATTTGAAAATAGCATAAGGTGCAAGAAATGATCTGCCAGGTCAGGGGCAGCAAGAATCTGTCAGATGAGTATGTATGTGCTCTGTCATCTGGGCGATCCCTCTTTTGGATGCAAAAGACTCTCTGAATCTAGTGAAGAAAAACGCAGAGCAGCACTGACGGCAAGTAGATCACCTGCCTCTCTCTCTTACTGCTATAGGGCAACACTCAAGGCTGTGAATCATCTTCCTCCCCACCCTCCTCATTCGGGAGCATCAAAGCTTGCTCCAAATCTTAACTGTTGTTAACTATTAAGAAGCTTCCTCTGCAAGAGGAACCTAGACATTTAGCATCCTCTTGTCCTCCTGTGTAAGTCTTTTCTGGTTGGGGGTGGAGGCAAGGATTGGCAGATGAGCTTCCTTGCTATAGGATCTTTCCATGAAGAATTGAGCCTGGAGCCTGAAGCCAGTCATTTGTAGGCTGAGATCTGGATTCCCTCTGAGTTCAGGCAATATAAGTTGTATCTCAAAACGTGGAAATCAAATGTCCTGCTGCACCTTGCCAAACAGTAAATAGAATTATTTCCCCTACTGGGAGATGTATGCTGTTGGAAATGTAAAATTATGATATACCTTTAGATATGCTCCTTATGCATTTTTTTTAATTGCCTATCATATTTTTATTTAGACAGTTCTTTCTGTCTAGAAATCTGTGGATAAAATCTGCAAATATGGATGTTCAGTTTGCTGTTAATATGATGGAAGGTCAAAGGGATGAAACGGACAACAGGAAGGCAGTCCGTACTGCTGTGACCTAGCAGATTGTCTAACATTTCATAAAAAATAGTTGCAAACTTTTCCTTTTGGAGACCATGACGGGATATTAATTAATTGTGTAAGATACTTATAGGTGAGAAATGAACATTACAAAGCATTTTTAATTTCTGAATGGGCAAGTCACAAAATATTCGGATAGATATCTTCGGTGTTGCCTAGATTACACATTCAAGATAATTTAGATTGTAACTGGAATTTAGTCTTTAGAGATGAAGGTCTACAGGAATGCTATTCTATTTTCTGTAAATAAATTGGAAAGAAGAAAATTAGGAGATCTTTTGGGGTCCATTAACTCCAGTATTTTTGTCAAGTATGCCTAAACAGTTCTGAATTTTTCTCATAATCACTATTTCTTTCATTCCCAGATTGATTTACTCTGTATTTTAACAGTCATAATTTGTTTGTTCTGGTCCTGTATTTTATTCCATTTAGTTGCTTGGCTTTTGCAATATTATTTCTGGATACATCACAAGGACTTCAACTTACGTCTTTATTTTTTTCCTTAACTGGAGAAGATTTTCAGAATTATACCACACAACATCTAGGCACATAGAGTCACAAAAGCCCCAAAAGACATAGGGGATAGGACTATGGCCATCTATCATCCCTAGAGAGACTTCTCCCATTGGCTTTGAGGTCACACGTGCCCCTCCTTCGGTTTACGCTATAGTGGAACAGTGTAGAGCAAAACCATTTTTTTCCCTTCAAACATCTCTTCCGTACAGGTGGGTCCAGATCTTTCTGCCACTATTTTTTGATGTGTTGAAAACAAAACTTACTTATTTCTCAAACCTTTGCAAGTTACTTTCCAGAAGAGGCCAACTTGATTCCCAAGGCTTGTATTTGCTGATACAAACATTGCCATTGATAAGACCGTGTCAGCTTTTGCGGTTGGTTGCAGCTAAAGAGAGGAAGCAAGGGTGCATTGCTGCTATGAGAATTGCTTGGGTAACTTGCCTGGCTGAGGCATTCAGATTTAGGATCAGAAGGGAGTTCTCCCCTTTTTCAGGCTGGCAGGGTTTTGTCCTCAGCCTGTTGTGTGGGTACTAGCCATTTCCTATGATTATTGTCTGGAAATTTTACTTACCGAATTCCCAGCTGCTGTAGAGGCTTAGAATGGGATGCTCTTCATTTCTTGTCTCCTCCTGTGGTCTGTTAGTCCCAGTTTTTAGGAGTGCTTGGTGAACTATACTATATGGGAGCATCTGAGGTGGACAGTCTACAAACAGTCCTCAGTTAACATATTTTCTTGGCTGCTTGGTGTGGTGGAGGGTCTGGACTTGGTGGCCGTAACGATCTTTTTCAGTCCCATGCATTTCAGGAGTCCTGGGCAGCTGAACCAACTGTTGTGGTGCAAAGCCATTTCCAGTCTCCTTTGTAATTTCATGTCTGTGTCCGTCTGACTCTGATTTGTGTCTCCTGCGTGTGGAAAAGCTGATTGTCAAAAGCAAAATTTGGAAACCGGTTTTCTCCAAGGGCAGATCAGTCATCACTGTGAAGAATGTCTGTGTCATGTTGATAACAGTTATGGTAGCTACAGTTCACGCTTCTCTGCACCTTCTCTCTTTTCTCCACCTGCTTGTTTTATATGTTAGGGGATATCTTAAGGGGCCAGTATGACTTGAGTGAGGCTGTTGGCTTATGTTGATAATTATGTGGCTGTCTCTTAGGCTCTCTGATCATCTTTCTGTTTGTAACCCAATGAACTCCAAAACTCCATTCTGGAGTTCTCTACTAGGTACAGAAATTGGGCTTGGTGGAATTAGCATATTAGAAAGTAGTCAGCAAATGTAACACCTAATATTCTTACTAATCAAAGGGATGTGTCCCTTCTGCTTCAGTGTTTTGATGGGGAGGAATCCTGACGAGCCAAAGTCAGGAGAGCTCTTAGACATCAACTCAAGCGGAGGATAATTTGGTTGTGTTTGGTATACCTCTCTACAGCCAACATAAAATTCTACTAGTCCTCCTGTAAGGTGGTTCTGGATTCAGTCATGGGTTTGAAACTCGCTTTTAGTGTAGTGGTAGGTCATTTTTTAAATTATGAACACATGATTTGAAAACAAGCTGCTACATATATCTAATATTAAACCAGCAGATAGTTATCTTTGCAGAATAATGTTGGCTCCTGATTATCTTTTTTCTTTCTATAATAAATACTTACAGAGGACTGGCTCATCAGATCTTTCATTCTTCACCGGTTGCAGTATTGCAAAATCAAGCAGGGCCCTGAAACACAAAGTTGGATCAGTTGTAATCAGTTTTTACCAATGTTTCAACATAGCCTTAGTTGAAAATATGTTGACATTTTGTACCCTCCAAGACTGCTTGTCCGTTATTAACAATGCCTTTATTGAAACATGTACAGCCAAAAAAGCTTTTTTCTTATCTTGGTGTGTTTTGCTGCAGTAGATAGGCCTCTGAAAGGAAATGCAAAAATACATATAACTTTTCAACAGTACAGCGAATAATGTGAGTTGTCATCCTGTGGCAGACTCCAGAGACTTCTTTGCAGAAACAAATTGATGTCTAGACCTCCATAAATTTCATTTATGGTGGAAACATCAGCATTCATACCAGAGACCCTTTGCGTTCAGTGCCACACATTGGAAAAACTGGATTTATTCTAAGGGGAAGCTGAGCATCTTTGCAGAGAAAATACCCTCTGCCTGCTTGCCAGGGATATTCTTCAGCCTAAATACGCTCAGCTGCAGGTATGAGCTTCTACAAAGAGTATGAGAATCTGTAAATCAGGAAGGTTGTCCTTTATGTGGTAGAGGACTCAGGTCTCGCTAGTGAATTTCTGAGGCACTGGGGGGTGTAAGCAATGCAGTCTAATAATGATTTTTATGCTAATCATCTAACAATGATTTCTTTGCTTTGACCAAAGCAAATATCCTTTTACTATGGCATGTGCCACCATGCTGCGAAATGCTTTACAGTCATTAGTTCAGTTCATCATTACACCACCTTTGAAAGACAGAGCTATGTCCTCTATATACAGAGATGATAAACTGATAAATGGGTGTAACTGTGCCTGAGCTGGGAACTGCCCGGGCTGTCCTCCTAAGGGACTGGCGTGGTAAGTTCTAGGATAGCGCTCTTTCATTAATGTTGCTTTGAAGTACTGCCCGTCGTACTGAGGCCATGGAATACCATTCTGCAGAATGCTGTGGAAGCTGAAAGCTTCCGTGGGTTCAAGAAGCAACTGGACAAATCCATGGAAAGAAACCCCATTAACAAGTGTTAAATAGAAAGCCACCTTTGGCGTAGAAAGTTGCTAACTCATGGACTGCTGGATACTAGGAGGGTGTCCGGGGAAAGTACTGCTGAATCCGTGCTGTCTTCTGCTCTCCTGCAGGCGTCGTCGGTGAGCCATGGGGGCAGACCGCGGGGCTGGATGGACCTTTGGCCTCACCCAGCACGGACTGCTTTTAGGCTTTCCTTTCTACGGCATAAAATAAGAGTACTTATGTGTTTAAAATACAAGATGAGTTTCAAAATAGTAATGACATCTCACACCTGAACTACGGTGTGAAGGTGACAGAAAACATTACCCATAAAGGCTCCCTACTAAATAAAGAAATGTATTTTTTATCTAAGTTTGCTAAAGCAAATTACATTGAATAGAAAAAATATTATATTAGCGAGGTAAAGTTGAGATTATGGGGTTGTGCTCGTTTGATTAAGTGGGTATACAAGAAAAGGGGTTTAAATTGGTGAAAGGAGCATAGGCAAGCCTTCAGGTTCGCATTCAGACTTGCAGCCTCTGGTTTCCAAATCAGCCTCCTCCTCTCGTGTTTCCTTGTCAGCAGCGGGCTTTTGCTCTTGCGGCACTCCTTAATTAGATGCAACAATTATGAATATTTTGTGCAACTGCTACAGCAGTAGGAATTTCTGTTTTCCCATGTGTCTGGGCAAATGAATTTGCTCCAGAGAAAACGTGCACGCTTCCTCTAGTTTACGTTAACTACTTTTGAGCAAATAGGTTTATTTTATTAGAAGCGTTTATTGCGATACGTGCAAAGGCTGATTCATACTTGTTCTGCGATTGCTGAGCTTTATTTTTTCTAAATATTTTCCTAAATATTAGAGAACTGCTGTTCCCTCTGTCCTTTTTCATCTTGACTATTTCATTATGCACTAGGTGAGCCTTTCTTTTGCATGCCCTCTTTCAGTAATGAAATGTAAATAATCGTGGAAGCCTCTGAGTCGCAGGTGGAAGGACTGGTGAAGCTTCATCTTCATCTCCTGTTTTGTTTTGAAATTGTACGTGGTCACATAGGAAGGTGACAGCATTATGGGGTATTTTCCATACATTAAGAGACTTTAGCCTTTTACTGGAGGGGCTTTAATAGGCCTGGGGAAACTAGACACTGCTCTAACCCCTCTTGGTACAGTGATTTAATGAGGTACTAACAGACTTTTTCTAATCTGGGACGTTTCTGTTGTCCGGCTCTGATGAAACTTGTGGGAGTTAACAGGTATGTGACGGCTGGCTTTGGCAGGCGTTTTGCTTGGCACTAGCTAACGCGGAAGATGCAGAGGGGAAGGGAAATTAGGATTTCTGTGCAAATATTGTGCCTCTTTTTGTTTGTTTGCGTTTTGTTTTCTATGCAGTGTCATCATATCTCGATGTAAGCATCTTGGATTGATTCCCTTAATATATGCATTGGTTAAATTTGTCCTTAATTTAATCAAGATTATATTTCAAATAGTTAAAGAAATACTTTAATGTGCATGCCATCAGACCCGCTATACTGTTTTATTCAAATACCTCCTTACCCATCTCTGCGTTTATATTGCAATTAGCAGACAATCATCCTGTCACTGCATTCTGCTCTGCTGACATTCCCCCTCTTAAATCTGCCAAAGGGCTGAATTCCTTGGAAGTAAGTGGTTTCTGAAAAGCAGGCACCCCCCAGGGAGTCCTTGCGGTCAAAGTGTACAGAACTATTTCAAACACCTGTGGCAACTTTAATCCCTTATGCTAATAAATTAAGCACAGCAGACATGGAAATTGTCCACACCTAGGTTTGAGAATCAGTAAACTCCTTTGGGTGACTGTCACGGGAAGTTAGCTTGTCCTTGCAGATTTAGTTGCTTTTGTAAAATTTTGATCTTAGCTACAGCGGTATGGATTTGGAATGCTCTCCTCAATATGCTACTTATACTGGGTCACCTAGATCAAAAGGCTTCTGCTTTAAACTAAACTAGTTTGCATGGGTATCTCAGAATACCAGTGCAACCAGAAAACTTCTCCTCATCATAATAAAATGAGAAATGCGGACACTTGCAATGAAGATTTATGAAAGTGATGTGTTTTAAAATATACCCAGAGAAGTTAAACCCACTGCCCACTTCAGCTGGTGTTTTTCTTTAGGTCCTTCCTACTGGACCTTTGTTTTACATCTCAGCTTTCCACCGTAGACAAAGCAGGTCCCAGCTGGTCTCGTGCGTACCTTCCAGATAAAGCCCAGGGTCCTCCTGGCTTCTTGCGCTGAGGCCTCTGCGCAGGGCTGTGGCACCGTAACCAGACTTTATGTAGGTATAAATGTAATTGTATCTGAGGTTTCGCAGGATTCCAGTGTTGTGCAAAGGGGTCTTAGACTATATGCGAATCAGATCTGAAAGATCACAGAGCTCCTCCTGTAACAGCATAAGGGTATTTTTTTTTGTGCTGGCCAGATTTCACCAACTCTGTGGTATGCTACGTGCCAGCAGTGTTCCCCTCTTTCCTCAAGCGCCTTGATAGCTGCATTTCTTTTTGCTTGTTGATGTGGTTGGTGAAGTCCTTTGCATTGAAAACCACGTTCGTTTGAGACACTAGCTTGTAGGGATTTCATTTTTTTAAAAAGTCAGAATCTCACTTTTCGTCCCAGAGAAAACCCATCCTGAGGATCTCTGCTGAACTGTATGGGAGGTGAAGGAAGAGTTTACATTTATGTGAGGCTTTGCAATAATTCATAGGCGTGCCTGCGGGAGGTGTGCAGCTACATGAGAAATTCTATTTAATGGTGCTTTATGGAAGAAACATCATTTGTGTTTTGAGGAAGAATATGTATTTTTCTGTGGTTGAATTTTGCTCAGTTTCTTTTACTTCATTTAGTGTGGTTAAAATTGCCACCTACATGGATGACATTTGTTTAGGTTTTGCTTTAAATCCAATTTAGAGCAAAATGCAAGTTGTTCCCTTATACAAATTATATATTACTGAAACAGGTGGTGTCGTGGTTTATCCCCAGCCAGCAACTAAGCACCACGCAGCTGCTCGCTCACTGCCCGCTCCGTGGTGGGATGGGAGAGAGATTCAGAAGAGTAAAAGTGAGAAAAACCTGTGGGTTGAGATAAGAACAGTTTAATAATTGAAATAAAATAAAGTAAAATAGTACTAGTAGTAGTAGTACTACTACTACTACACAAAGCAAGTGATACATGATAGAATTGCTCACCACCCGTGGACCGATGCCCAGCCTGTCCCCGAGCAGTGATCTCTCCCTCCCAGCCAACTGCCCCCAGTTTCTATACTGGGCATGACGCCATACGGTATGGAACAGCCCTTGGGCCACTCTGGGTCAGCTGTCCTGGCTGTGCCCCCTCCCAGCTCCTTGTGCACCTGGCAGGGCATGGGAAGCTGAAAAGTCCTTGAGTAGTATAAACACTACTTAGCAACAACTAAACCATCAGTGTGTTGTCAACATTATTCTCATACTAAATCCAAAACACAGCGCTATACCAGCTGCTAGGAAGAAAATTAACTCTATCCCAGCTGCAACCAGGACACGTGGAAAGGGCTTAATGTGGTTTTCAGAGAAATATAAAACAAGGGATTTCTGTTCTTTTCCAGCAGAAAACAATAACAAAAATTTCATGCAACCTGAATTTTTTTGCAGCTTTAACCTAGTGTGCTATTTTTTTAGAATGAGCAGATTCAATATCAGTGTCAATGCAGTAGAATTATGCCAGCCTTTCCCCACTGATTCCAACACAGTTGTACGGTTTTATAGCAAATGAGTCCTCGTGTACCACTAGCCTGCTTTAGACAGGAGAGAAGTCTAAGTCTTTTAGCGTAACATGTTTCATCTTCTCATTCTAGTTGACGTGTTCCCTCATGTGGCCACATCTTCTGATAAACTGTTTGTCCATTACAGGTGAAAAACCTTATCAGTGTGATTTTAAGGACTGTGAACGAAGATTTTCTCGTTCAGACCAACTCAAACGGCACCAAAGACGACACACAGGTTTGTTGGCAACACATCGCTACTCATTAGAGCTCATCTTTATACGTGAACTGCAATCCAAAAAGTATACTTGTAAACTTCTGTTTTTCTGATGTTGTGTCTGCTCATACACGATACCTGTAGTGCCAAATTCTTGGAGTTAGCTTTAGGAGAGGGCTGCAGCTGAGTGGTTTTGTTGGCATTTCAGCACTACTATGGTTGTATAGGTGATCCTTTAATCGTGCCGCCATCTTTTTGAAACAGCTTTCTTACGGAAACTGTTTGCTCTATACTGTATCCGCAATATAGGGAAAATATTATTTTTAAAAACCAAACAGTTCTGCAAGAAAAAGTTGCCAATGAGTAACCTGATGAATGCTACTGTTGGTATTCTGATGGTTGTGTGGCAATGCTAATAGGGGAAGGCAGCCTGTGCATAACCTGACGGGCTGGTGGAATTACTGTGCGTTTGTATGTGGAAAGCAGAAGCAGAGAAGCAAAAGCCACACCAGCTATATTGCTTAAGACCCTAATTCAGCAAACCACGTAAGCTTAGATTTGAGCCTTTCTTGAATTCTGCCAACTAAAGAAGGATTCTAGGAGCAGGAAGGAGAGAAACACCAAAGATCTGGCTGGTTGGGTTGCACAAACAGCCTGGAAAGCGTACAGCCGGTCACATACAGCGGAGAGGGCAGCAGCAGCCATGAGCAGGTCTGGGTCCTAGCTAGACTTGGGTATCTTTTTCAGTCAGTCATTTATTGGGTGAAATGTTCTGAGACAGCCAAAACTACTTGTGATTTCAGTCCAAATTCAGCAAGTTGTTTTTTATGCATACACCATTTTCTGAAAACACCAAGACAGCCCATTTCAGCATTTCAGGAGTTCTTGGAGGTCCAGATTAGATTGACAGGGGAGACAGCTGCCCTTCCCGAAGTCACAAAAAAGGAGATGGTGATGACTCCAGCCTCCTAGCTGGGAGTGGGACCGTGAGGGTGCTCTGCATGGAGCATGAGCAAGGGCTTCAGAGTACTCCTCTGGCTGCATCACAGCAAGACATTCCATCTTGGTCTCCTCTGTCTCAGGGAGCGGCCTGGCAATTGGTTTACTCACTGTTCTGTGGTGGAGTTCTGCCTACTACTTTTCTTGCTAAAGATGTTCTGTCCCACGTAAACGGTGTTATTGAGAGATGTAGGAAGTGGCTCTGAAAGCTGGTGGTAAAAGTACTCTATTGGGATCTTAGATTTTTAGCAACTGCATGCCAGAACATATCTGTGTTAAACAGTCCCCAAGACTTACGTGTAGTGTGTAAAGTAAGTAGTAGAAGTGTAAAGTAGGTTAAGCCTATTGGGAGCGTGTAAAAATATACCTCTGCACCTCTATTCTTTTTATGTTGTATTTGCTCATACATGACACCAATAGTGCCAAGCCACAGGATCAGAATTGACAACGTTTGCAGATCCTCCTCAGTCCAACAGTGTAGGTGGGTGTTTGTTTATGATGGTGCTGTTTGGATGAAGAGGAAGTTCCAGAGGGATGGTAGCCTGATTAATGACTTTCGGTAATGTGTAGGCATGAAGCTGGGAGGAGCAGTTACAGTAACTAGTAAAAAAAAATCCAGGCTTTTGAAAATTCAAAATAGCTAATTTCATTCACCCTTCCAAAAGGCGTTGGGATATAAGAATAGATTTTTTTTTTTTTGTCTCTTCAGGTGTGAAGCCCTTCCAGTGTAAAACCTGTCAGAGAAAGTTCTCCAGATCTGATCATCTGAAGACTCATACCAGGACTCATACAGGTAAAACAAGTGCGTAAACTTTTCTTCACATTTATATTTCATTATTTTTTAATTTTAAATCAATGTTGTTGTAAATTACATGAATAGAAAGTCTCTTAACCAGGAGTTAAATATTCAGAACGGCAGAAAGAATTTCAGAGTGTGCTGATTTTTCAGTGTGACCACATTCCCCAAGTGTCCTAGTTACTTTTCACAAAGGGTTTTAGGTGACTTTGGAAACTACGCTTTCTTCCTTTACGTTTAGAGAAATTTCAGCTTGGCAAAATACATTTTGTCAGCTATCGTGAAATGAACATCATGGTCTCAGCCCACAAATGTCAAGTTGATCTACTGCCTTTACTGAAAAAAACCCTACAAGATAGAAATTTTAATTCTAGCTTCAGCCGAAGGTCTGTAATCTAAAGTATTCATGCCTACTCATGCTCCTCCGAAGTGTCAGCTGAGCCTAATGCAGGATAGCACAGCAAAGCTCTTGCTGTTGCTGCTTGTACTGTAATCTCTCCAGAAGATAAAAGGAATGCCTTTTGCAGACTCACACTGACAGACACTAAAGTAAAAGCTTACTCAAATATTCAAGGACCTTTTCGTAGAAACCATAGTATTTCATATGAGTACAGGGAAAAAAATAGGAGGCCATTTTAGTCTACTCTGCCCTCACATAAATGTAAACACCATTAAGGAGCAACTGCAGCAACCTCTATATTTTAGTTTTAAGCTTTAGAATTGTTCCTATGAACTGGCATTTTCTGTTCCCTTCTGCTGTGTATGCAGTATTTTTACCAAGTAATTGTTTACTGAGCACTTTGACGTGTTATTAGATGTCACAGTGTTTTCTATACTGGCGTTAACCTTTCAAATTCAGTCTCTGTACAGATGGACAAGGAGCCTGAAAATCTTTTTCTCCCTGCTAAGGATTCTTTTTTCTCTTCTGGACCATAAATACACATATTTAAGACTTTCAAAAATAAAAGAGAAATTTTAATAAAGGAAACGATTCACCTGAGAACAATGGCATTTTCTGTGGCACTGGCCAAATAAATGCTTCAAGTAATGGCCATATCTACACTTGCAGTCTGCAAATGGTAAAGGGCATGGCTGTGTTCCTGGGTTCTCCCCAGGGTCTCACGCTGAGCTGCAGGGCCTGGGTCTGTGTGCATTTGCATGAAGAAAGATCTTTTCTTAATCAGCAACAGGTAACATTCTGGTGGAGGCCAAATGGCAAGCGGTTGTCACGTGCTAGCAAGTCAGGATAAACTACAGTCCCCATCACATTTCATTGCTAACTGGTCTGCTAATTCATTGCTTTCATGAGTCCAGTAATTTTTTATCACAGATTAGCTAAATCAGTGAAGAGCTTGCTCTCTTTTTTTCTAGTGAAACTCATCTGCCCGTTCTAGTTCTTCCTTGTTCCGTGTGATCCAAGCCCACACTGCACTCACTGCTGAAAGCGGCCTCGCTTGAGCACTGATAACCTCACAGCACAGACCTGTGCGTGGGCTTGCTGCCTGCCCCTGGCTCAGGTTCTGCGCGAGCTCCGCAGCCCAGCTGCGTGCTGCTGTGATGATGCTCCTGTCAGCGGTTTTGGATGTGTCGGGCTCCTTTGACTGCAAAGTACACATATCCTGAAGGGAATGAGCACGAATGGTGGGTGGAGATTTTCCATCTCCATCTTGCCCTGTAGCTTCATTCCTCTTCCGTTCTTGTACGCCCTCAATTTTGCAACAAAACACTCAGCTCTAGTTAACTTGCTGCATGTTAAATCTTGATGAAGCAAAGCACAGGTGACTTCCATCTAATTCCATCCTAATTTTAAGTCAACTGCCAAACTATTTGGTAAGCTACGAATTCAGGGTTTTTTGTCTCCACAAGCAATTTTACTGTGACAGCAATCTTTGCTGTAGAAAGCAAAAAAATGAATCAAAGGAAAACTCCATACATCTATATACATTTTTATCAATGGAAATGTGATTTCTGATATCTGTACAGTGAAGCTGTACGAAGTAATCTGTGCCCAGCACAGAACTAATAGGGATTGCTGCCCCCTGTTGCGAGAGGACAACCAGAATTGCTTGTGAAACAGCAAAACTGTGCTGCTTTTACTGTGGGAGTTCAGTGAAACACTGGCCAGTAACAGATAACTCGCATCAGTTCACAGGATGGTTTTGCTAATGCTGCTGAGATGGAGGAAGACCACTTTCTACAATCTGTCATTTTTGTCAGTAGCTCTGACCAGATCAGTTTTGTCCCATGCTGTTTTATGCACTCATGTGAGACAGTTGATGCTTTTGCCAGCATGTACATTAGGTGGATAAAATAGATTTTAAACCCCCCTGCCCAATATATTGCATGGGATTTTGCAAACAGAAATACACATTTATGCCAATCCCAGATCCCCTTTTCCCTGAATTTGGATGTTTGTGAAATGCACAACTTGTGAGGCAAAGAAGAGGAGAAGGTGGCTGGGTGAGCTTGTACCACCCCAGTGTGTCGTGAGTTGGAGAGTACGGGGTGTCTAGTCAGCACTGAAGAGCCCAGTCCCAGAGCTGAACCTACTTTAAAATACTGCATCTCTTTGGGGGGAAAAAAAAAGAAAATGCAATTCTAAAAGAAACATGAATCACTGGGCACTGCTCTGAGCTAATGAAAGCATTCCATCAGCAT